AAGTTTCGATTCTTGTATTCGATCTGTTTTTACATGTTTTTTTTTTTAAATTATCGTTCGTTTATTAATTACCAATTTCTCTCTGGCCGATATACAACTGAAACCAGACCGAAATTCACAGAGCACATAAAAATGAGAAGAAGAAAAATAACCGTATACTATGTATTTATAAAATTTCAAACAACAAACTTCGAACGAAATTTCAAACTTGAAAAAATAAACAAATGCAATCGCTTGAAGCTTAGAATATAGATGTGTATTTTTTTTAGTTGTTTTCTGTGTGTGTGAATGCTTTTTACAAGTGATTCATGTTTAAATACATATAAATTTGTTGTTAATAATGAAACAAGGGCATACATACACGGTTTTCTGTGTAAAGGTTTGCGGGTTTTTCGGAAAAGTCGAAAATGTAAAAATCCCGGGGAAACATGGACAGTTTTTCAGCGTTGGTATTGGCAACGGTGGCGATATAGCAAATAGTGTAGTACTTCCGGCGTAAAAATAAATGTGAGAGAAAGGAAGTGCGCGAGCTAGATTCACGTTGTTTTGCATTTCGGTTTTTCTTCTATTCATTGTTTCGATAGATTTTTTTTATTCGCTGTTACGTGCTGTCGACGCGCATTACCTTTATTGCGAGTTCAGGTTGACTGGTTTGATATTATGGTTGTAACTTCCGTTTTATTCCAAATGAATAAAATCCCCACACTTTCACTCTTCCTCACTCTCTCTCTCTCTCTTTCTCTTGTTCGCTCAGTATTTAAAAAAAAAACAAAAGTCCATCTATTCGTCTAAGCTTTATAAGTGTGCTTTTTGTTTAATGGTTTGAATTTCGAAAGAAAAGGAATCGATTATATTAGAAAATATAATCAAAATGTAAAAATGGAAACCACTTGCAATCAATAGTAGGAACATTTTTCATATCATTAAGCGACATTCAAAAAAGAAAGCACCGATTGTTTTTTATAACTTTTTTTTTGTATTTCATCCATTTTTTGTTTTGATTTCTCATTGTTTAACTACAAGTGTTACATATTCCACACAAATTTTTCGTTTCAGTTTGCATTCACACATATTCTCTTTAACACACAAACACTTCATTTGAACTTGATTCTCATTACAAACGACAGATAAAATAATTTCCATGAAATTAATCTGGTAAATCTCATAATCATGCAACAAAACACGTTTACATTCAATCATACATACAATAACATACACATTTACACACAAAAACACACATCAATTTCACACCGAATACCATACAAAACATTTCAAATAAGAAATTATTCCATTCATATTCCGATAATTCGTTAAATGAAAAGAAAAACAATTCGATATTGATGGCAATATATGACATATGATAAATGCAAGAATACAAGCAAAAACCGTAACAGGCAAAATATGGTTGATTTGCTCGAAATGAAATAAACTGACTTTTGAGTCTCGCGTCAAATAGCAACAACCAAATAAATCTGCACTGATATATACATATTTAACATACATCGTGTATCGAAATATTGACCAGTATCAATAAGACGATTTCAAAACGTTAAACAATTGATATCAATTTAAATCGATCATATCATCAAAATGATGATTGTTAAAATGCAATTTTTTTTAAATTAATCAAAAAAACAATCGAAATTCTTTGAGATATTGTGAAAAAATCAGTGAAGCTCTGCGAATCACGGTTTTTCGCCATTCTTTTGGAGTTTTAATATTTTCGGTTAATGAACTTGCATTTCATAAAAATTGTGTGCGTTTTGGTGTCAGCTTTTTTATACTACAGATAGTTCTGAGCAAACGCAAATGTCTCAACTAAAACTATATTTAGTTGCGTGTACTATATACTCACATATATGAACATATCTACTTTACCTTATATGTGTATTATATTATTCGGTTGGGGACATTTTCGTTAATTTTAATTTTACTCTATGCACCAAAAAACAAAAACTAACAAAACAATTCGACTGATGGCACGCGATTATTGCAAACAATAATTTTATGCTGAATATTTATTCAATTTCATTTTTTTCTTCTGTTATGGGTTCGATACGATATAATTAACATGACACAGCAATGATGAAATACATATCGTACGGCATATATAATTCATACATACTTTATATATTTTATTTTAGAAGCGATTTCTCTTTGAGAATGTCTGAACGAAAGCAACACAAAAGTAAACAAAAAAATGAACAAAATTTTTATGAGAAAAACCAACAGCAGAAATTTAAAGACACAAAATGTTGTAGGCAACAATAAAATATTGAGAAAAGGATAAATGCAATAGATCATAGCAATTGTATGTACTTGTACACACTTATTAACAAGAGTGCTGCTTTATTTATAGTTTAAATTTGGTTTTTGTTTCTCTATTTCGTTTGAGAACACACAATATTTTTCTTACGTGCATAACACACAGATATATTACACATAATTCTCAGTATATTAAACAATTAATTAACCACTTTGAAGTTTTGCGTAATATTTTTTAGTTTTTCGTTTGATAAAAGTGGCAAATAAGGAGAAAATCGCCCAATGGTAACTCTCGATTAAAAAAAAAAAATTGCGAATAAAAAAATATGCAATTTCCCGTACAAAAATTACCTCCGGTGATTTCAACCTTGGTGACACTTGTTGTTCTCTTTCGTTTCGTTGAAATTACAAAAAAACTCTTTTAACTTTGAGTATGCATATAAATATGCTGAATTTATTTAAATATACTTCTTTTTCGTTTAAAGTAATCTAATGCAAACTATAAAAATATGCGAAACTGACTAAAAACAACAACCAAAAGTACTAAAACAATACCATACAAAACTAACAAATACTGAACACTACTACTGTCAGGCTACAGTAGCCGCCGCATTTTGATTTATTTATACTTAGGTTCTGAATATAACTTCACTTTCTGTTTCTTTCGTTTCGAAACAATTGTACGAATAGAACGAAGAAGGAACTTAATTGAAAAAAAAAATAAACCAATAAATAATAACAACAAATACAAAAACAATTTTATGCATATAATAGGAAAATTAAATCGCGAAAAATATAGATATATAATTTTTAATTTGTTTTGTTTTTCTTTGTTCGTTTTTCGGTTTAAAATATATCTCTCATCATTTTTCATTTTGGTTAATGTAAAGCTAATAAGTAGTCCCATTGATGTTGGATAATGTAGCGATTTCATTCGAGGCTATTGAGACAGTATATACTGACACCAAAAGAAATTTTTCTTTCACTCGTTTGAATGAAATCATAAGATGTAAACTCAACAGCACTGCTTGAAATCTCTAGATTAATTTGAAATGGACGACAACGACCGATGAACCAGACGGTGGATATAAACATCTTTTCGTACCGCGTTCAAAACACATGCACGTGCACAAGCACACGCACACATCAAATACATACTTTATTTTCGGTGTAGATTTTTCATTCAAAGTTCTAGTTCTTCTCTCGCATTCGCTGCTATCTTGATGTATTCAAGCTTAGTCGCAATTTCGTATGCGAACACATTAGCTGAAAAGACGAAACGATACGAAGCACAAAAAAAATTGATCACATTTTTCCACTTCGTGAATGAAATGAGCTTCGAATGAACTAATCTAGAACTTTGGCCAAAAGTTGAAAAGTTCCAAAGATGGTCTTCGTTCGGTTGAAGAAATGCGTCGAATTTTTATTCGGTATTTCGCCTAGATGGTTAACTTTTGCAATGTTCATTGAAGCAATCGAGCTAGTGAAGAAGAAGATGACGACAACGAACAAAAAGAAGTTAAAATGCGCATAATATGAAAAAATATATGCTCAAAACTTTTTATTTTCTGCTAGCACAAGAAAGAAAAATGATACTTCTTGGTATAACAGCAGCAGCATCATCATCAGAGAGATGTGTACGTGTGCAGATAACGAAATGTTGGTACTTGCTGCTGGTGTCATGTAACAATCCAAACTACGCAGAAAAAAAACCTATTAAACATAAACCACCTGTCCGACACAGAGAAAGAAAAGATGATGAAGAAAGCACCAACAATTATATTAAGTGGATGAAAAATCTTCCGTTCACGTCGTACGGTCGTTGTCATCATTTCAACAAAATAATTCATCTTATTTCTAATAATATTATATATATATATAAATAATACAAAAACAATACCAACAACTAGCACGCCGATATTTTTACTTCTGTTATTATTTTACTATTTTGCATTCAAACTCTCAAAACCAAAACAAACTTACAAAAAATCGACACACACACACACCACAATCCGAACCACCATAAAAACGAAACCAAAAAAAACTTACCGAACTGAAAAAAACCAACTGCAACTTGGCAACCCGACTGAATCGAAATACACCATAAAAAAAATTGTGAAATAATAATCATATCCAATAATAAACAACAACGATGACAACAACCAACACAACTACTGCACAACGCTCTGCAAAAATAACCATCGCTGCAAAAAACAAAAAAAATCTAATCCATCGTGTGTCTGCTGACTAAAAAAACGTCGGATGTTCTCGACAACTTAAAAAAAAAAAACTATAATTGATTGGCACCAACGATCCTTTGTGCGCGCATTTGGCATTCGCTAACATACACATCAAAACTCTTCACCTGCAAAATTCATTTAAATACTGAACAATAACATTCACAAAAAATGCAAACACACACACACACACACGCTAATGCCGATTGTAAACGATTACACGATACACATCGAAAACAACAACAACAAAATACACACGCTCACACCTTTTCAACACCATCACCGATAACAATAAAAAACAATAACATTTCAACACATAACAAAAAAAAAACACAAAATTTACTGTGTACGATATATCGCCAAAATCGCATTTCGCCAAATGCCCATCGCATGACAATGTGAACACGTGTGTGCCAAACACGAATCAACAATAACAACAACAACGAATTGAATGAATGAAAACTATCTCAATCACACATTGATACGCGGAAAATTTAGTCGGATACACGATGCGAGACATTCGATACAAATGGAACGAAGGGCCGAATTCAGTTGGTGTTTCGTCAGAAGTGTCGTTGCCACAATTTAAGGTTTTAGGACATCGTCAACGAGCTATGGAAATCAGTCTTACAACAGGTACCTGTAGACGGTCACCGATTATCAAACAATTTAACTATTTATTTACATTTTTTTTTTTTCAAATACCAATTTTTATATAGATCTATTTTACAGAATTTTTTTTAATAAGAAACACTCATACCACCTTTTATTTTCATTTCAATCAAATCCATTTTGAATATATAAATATTTCTCAATTTTCTATACATCTCTCTGTATGTCTCTGACTCCTCATTTATTTTTCTGATCCTTTTTGTTCACTTTAATTACATTTCCTTTAAGCGCTCTTTCATTCTAATACTACAACATTTGTAACGATGTCTATTTTACATTCTATTTTGTTTTTTACTCGTTACATTCATTTTCATAACAAAAATCAAAACCGACGAATAATGTGTCCTTACCATTTTCTCATATCTCAAGTGTATATGACCCACATGTATCAGTCGTCATTTACAACTAAATTAAATTTCATTATTCTATTATGATTAAACTTCACTTTTTTCTTCATACTTTTTAAGTTATACTTCATAAGCTCAAAAAAAATGTTGTAAGAAAAGAATTCAAAAAAGATTCCAAAGGACTATATTCTGTGCGATGTTCTGAATCTGTATGACACCCCGTTGGTAAACATGTGGTATACATCAATTTATTTTTCAATCTGTGAAAATTTGAATCTATTCCATAAAATCAACGGTGAATCAGCTGGCTGTTTTCTCATTTTCACAAGAGATTTTCTACGATTTTCAAATTGAATTTGTTTTGCTAGCGATTTTACAAATTTTCCCAACATTCAAAAGAATTAATTGAAAAAACAAAACACATCCCTTTGTTTAATTTCATTTCAACTCCTGTTTATCGACCGCATCAATATGTGATACACATTTTTTTATGATTCATTTAATTTTCAATTCATCTCAAGCTTGAGAAAATTCTCTTTTCGCATGCACATGTTTTCTCGTTTGATGTATTTATTTTGATCGATGTCGTTCTTATTTTTTGTTAAATCTTCATGTACAAACGAAAATTCATTGTTTTTTTTCTTCATCTAATCAAATGAATAATGCCGATGGACGAATAGCGAATAAGCTAATGACAGTTGACACATGCAAAATACTTGATTTGACAGCTTACTATCATTAGCTAATCAACGGCACAGTTTTTTAATCACTGAAAATGCTTAAACTCTAAAATGAACTATCACTAGAAATAAGAAAACTGGCCGATCACCTTTTTCAATAAGATTTTTCGTTAGTTTCTATCTTTCTCTCAAAAGAAATAAATAACAACAACACCGAATCAATCACTGTGATTGTTTGATGTATAAATCGCAACACTGTGTCAACCATTACTATTTCTCTTTTAGTTAGAAGCCATTTCTTGCACGTAGCACAAATAAACAAATATATACACTAAACGCTTTTCATGCAGTTTAATGCTTTTTCACGCTTTCCACACAACTACATTTTATTCAAATAGAGTTTAATGAATTTGATATAAATATCGACTAAACCAATCGATGTATAAATTAATTTAAGAAAAACAAAACAACCAAAACCCATTTTCGCATTTCAAAACCTGCAACGGAAAGCATATGTTCATTATAATATCATATCATATTGAATTTGAAAGCAAATTTAATTTTTGTACACAAAAAAAAACAACAACAACAAACAAACAAACAAACAATCAAGAAATCGTGTGAAAAAACCGAAGGTTTTCCCACAGCCCGATTTTTCAGCATCAGTGAATTCATTTTGCCTTCATTTTTTCTTTGATTTGGATGCGTTGAGTATTTTTGAGATGTTCCAAAATACCCTTATTTTTGCATTTTATACTCTCTATCTCTCTCTCTATAATTTTCATTTTTAATTCTTTCTTAAAACATAGATAGAATAAAATCATTTGTTTGAATGAGAACGACTGCTACACTTTGTTTCTCTGTCTGCCTGTCTGTATATCTCATTTTCTATTTCTCTCTATCGATTGGATGCGAGTGTCTGCTGTCATCTCTATTTCTTACAATCATTTTTCGGTATTTATTTTTACTCAAAACCAAGACAAACAAAATCACATCTTATATAGAATTTTATCCAATTCAGTCAATCGCGTGGAGGCGCCAAATATGGAATCGACCAAATTCCAAATTTCACAATTGGCCGTGCGCGCGACAATTTTCCTTCTTATCGATATGCACAAAAATCGATAATCAAAATTCCGTAGCATTTTTTTTTGTTCGAAAAATGAAACATTGGCTTCAAAAATTGGATTGTCGAGCGCGTTCGAAACGAAAATGAAATCATTCATTGAAAAAATGAACGAATGACACGAAAAAGTCACACAAAAATAATGACGAAAAACAAAAATTGGTGATGCGTTTTCATTTTAACCCTAAAAATTAAAATATTTTTTTATGTACAAAAAAAAATCAAAACGAAAAACCAAAATAATAATAATAAAATGATGATTGTAAATAAGACGACAAAATCATTTGAAAACACACAAAGCAACAACAAATGCCAACAGAACGGAAATGCATATTACATAAAAATGCTATTTCTCTTTGAACAACAACTTTTAAAAAACGTTTTATCGTAACAACCAAAACATAAAAAAAACATACACACACAATTTGGACAAAATTCGTTAATTGGACCAATGCACCAGCAATGCATCTTCTGTTCGGTTTTTTACAATGGAAATTACAATATGTGATGCAAATTTCACTGTTTGAACGGGCGCCAACTACCCGGGTGCGGCTTTTTTATTGAAACGAAAATGGACGCACTCGCGGCACACACACACACATGTACGAACAAAAACAACAACAAAAATGCACAGACACATGTAGATGTGTGTGTGTGATCGCGGCAACGGCAACGGCACCCGTTCCATTTATTCAAGATGTGGAAAATGCACCGAACCAAAAACGAAAAAAAAAACAACAACAAAACAGCCAATTGCAATTTTCATTCCCGTATGCTTTGCACTTGTTCCAAACAACAACAAAAATAACTATACATATATGAAATTTTAAACACCAAAAACTAAACACGACCAGTTCCTAAGTTTTGTAATTATTCTCTTTTTCGTAGTCGTAGTTTTATATCAAAATGCAGCCCGATTTGTCCCGAACATTTCTGCCAACAGAACAGCACGTCGTATTAATTGGTCCGCGTCCTTTTTGTTCGTCTTATAACAACTGTTATTCGGAACTATATGGTTCCTTTTTTTTAAAAAAAAAACGACATGAATTGGATATTTTTGAGCAGACAAAAATGTGCTTTATTTAACATGTTTACAGAAATTGTAATTTCAAAATTCGATATCAATAAATGATAATTGATTCAACTCATACTTTCCGTATCAAAACCCCTCCCCCGCCACTCAAGAGTATAATTATACGCATCCTTGTTATTTCTGTTGAATGAAATCTTCTGATGACGATACGGCTTTTTGAATAAATATGTTTTGTTTTGTTTCGTTTCTTTGATACAATTAATTATTTCACAATGAAACTATTTCCTCGTACATTCTTAGTTGACATATTGCATTTAACTACATTTCGAACAACCAAACCATTAAAACAACTTTTCTCAAGTGCCTTAACTAAAACAAACAAAAACCCAAAAAAAACACAAAAACGAATTCCAAAATCTTATTCGACCATTTTTGATTTTAAAAAGATATATACCCATTACTCTTCATGATTTTATTATGATTGGACAGTATTCTGGATTAATTATAATAAACAATTTGTATTTTATTTATTAACAAACCAAATTAAAAACTATTGAAATGAAAAACAGCGATTGATTCGATTTAATCGAAGCAATCAAAAAGACATACACACATACACACTCATAAACACATACACATTTAATAAATATACAAACACACACACATTTACACATCTATGCAGTGAACAAAAAAAAATTGTCCTGAAAAAAAAAATGTTGTGAGAAAAATCACTGTTGAACGAAAATCATCAAATGAAAACGGAGTGAATATTATTCAAATGCGCAAAATAAAAAAAAAATATATATAATTGCGACACACACGATATATTTTTGTTTAATTTCACCTAATTGTAATTCGTGAATTTTCATTTGAACAAAATCCATTATTTTTTCAAAGTAATTAAATGTTGGTTATTTCAATCACTCGCTCACATTCATATTTGTCATGAAAATTCATTCATTCTTTCTTCATTTATGAAATTTGAATACTTTTGCTTTATATTTTCGATTCAATTTGTGTTTTGTTTGTTTGTGTGTCTGTTTCGAATCAACAGCAATATTATTTGTTATATTATTACGTGTGGCTCCTTTTTCACTGTTGCCTATTTGCTGTGTAATTTGATTTGCGTTTTCTAATGTTTTTTTCATCCACAATGTATATCATCAAAGGAGAAAAAAAAAAGAATAAAAAAAAATTGTAAAAGTACTGTACATCCTTTTCGTTTGTGTGCTTTATTTCTTTTAAATTTCATTTTTGATTTTATATGTAAAACTTATCTCAGCAAAAGACGTCATCGATTCGCTGAGAAGAGCACGAAGGCGTCTTTATCTGAATTCATCCATTCATCCCTAATATCATCGTATTCAATCATCATTTTTAATCCATTTTCTTTTATCTACTTTTTTTAAATAAAAAAAAAAACAGTATAACTTTCATCGTCCTACTCCGTTTTTATGTTATCATACTATATTTTTTTCGGTCTCGACATATCTCTATCTTTATTTTTATTTTATTTTTGTAAATGTGTGTGTACGATGATCTTTATCTGTAGAAAATCCCTGAACATAAGTATAATCATTTTCATTTCATTACCACCCATTTTCTTTATCGATTCTCTCTATCAGTCTTTTTCTATTTCTATCATTATTTTCGGTCAATTTAATATTTTTCGTATCCATTTGTGTGCGTGGTGTGTGTTGTTTTGTAAAAAAAAATCGAATTCAAATCATTGATAGTGTGAAAGTGAGATCAAGAGCGCTTAAAAGCGAGCCATCGCTTTCAATCGATCATGAATTGCCGAAGCAACATCAAGATTTGTATCAATATACGCCTACAGAATGCAACGAAAAAAATAGACATAAATCATATTGAATGGCGAATACAACAACAGTCACCACCACCACAATAAAATCAAACCCCAATTTAATTTATTTATTTAATTTCCAAATCTCTATTTTATCTCATAAGTAAAACAAAATCCAAAAAAAATAACAACAACAAAAACACAATTGAAAAAATAATAATATAAAAAAAAAACAAAAATTGAATCATAAACTAAACCATAAAATATTATGTACAAAAATATTTTATAGGAAACTACTCACGATTAGCATGTGAAATCCAGTTCGTGCGTTCAATGGGATACTATCTTATTCAAATTTATATCCCATCTGGATTAATTGTAATTATATCGTGGGTATCCTTCTGGTTAAATAGGTAAATATTAAGAAAATACTATTATATTATTTGGTTATTTCTGAATAATAAATAAAATTATATCAGAAATTATGTACAAAAAAAAAATGATTAAAAAAAGAAGAAAGATAAACAACAGCAACACAGTATCCCCAGCAAGTAAATTAAATAACCAAATAATATCTTAATAATAAAAAAAACAATATCTTAATATTTACAAACAGAAATGCAACACCAGCTCGTGTTGCCCTTGGCGTCACCACTGTGTTGACTATGACCACACTTATGTCATCGACTAATGCAGCATTACCAAAAATCTCGTACGTTAAATCAATCGACGTTTATCTGGGCACATGTTTCGTCATGGTTTTTGCCAGTCTATTGGGTAAACAAGAAAACAAACAAATTGAATCAAAAACATTCCATATGAAAAGCATTTTATTTTATATCATTTGTTTTATTTCTGTTGATTTTTCTGTTTTCTTCTATTTAAACGATGTCTTGATTGACATTTTCGAAGACGATATAACATTGATTTTTTTCTAAGAGAAAGTTACCATCAGAACGGTAACATTTTGTGTTTTGTTTGATTTTCGATTTGTGTTAAATTTTTAATTTCAAATTTGGTTGGTTGTTTCGCAATAACTCCCGAATTTTGCGTACCAATACATTTTACCATCCTCTTTAACTCTGTCTCTTTCTCTGTCTCTCTTTGCCTTTTTCTCATTTTGATTTTTCTTAAAATAGCTTTTTTTATCGCTTGATTTTTCCATTTTCCGGAATTTATCTACCTCTCTCGCTCTCTATTTTGTGGTTAAAATTTTTAAAGCGTAACCATTATGTTTTTTTGTTGCCTAGGCCTTATACAAAATTCAATCTGTTTATTTATTTAAAATAAATTGTTCATTTGAATTGATGTGAATGTGTATTGGTGTTGTGATTTTTGAATTTGAATTTTTTTATGCTTCTCGCATACCACATGTTTTTTTTTTGTTTAAATTCCTTTCATGCTGTGTGATCACCGTATGTATTTAATTTTATGAATTTGTTATTCGGTTTCAATTAAATTATACAGAAAAATTGCAATTCCGATTGATTGAAAATGTCGCTTTTTCTGACCCATTCGCATAGGTTGATGTGAGCTTTTGACTCATATTTTTGTTTAACATTTTTCGGTCCATTTACGAAAAATATGCATTTCAAATGAGCTCGCTGATACTCGGAGGGTATTTTTTCCACATATTTCTCTCTCTGTGTGTGTGCTAGTAGCTCTTTGTCATTTTATCATTTATTTATGTTATACGCTCGCGCAAAAATCAGAAAATGTTCGATGCAAGCATTTCCAATTTTGTAACGATAAATGTGTGGCGAGCGCGCACCAGCCATTAAAATACAAAACCATACTGCACAAAAGATAATAATAATAATAATACAAATGGAAATGAATTAGATAAAAAAAGAGCATTTTGAATATCGCTTGCCACTGATTTGGTCCACTGATAGATATAACTTTTATTTACTTCGATATTCCTTAATTTATTCAATTATCAAATAAATTATTCATGTGCCAACATCATTTCACCCGATATATTCGAATTTTCATTTTTTTACCTCCCCACATTGTTTTTTTTCTCTCTTTTTCTCTGTTTTTCTGTCATATCAACAAGAAAAATATTGTACACTTACACGCCCGCACACATACCAGAACCGATAATATTGTGTAAAAAAAGATCGGCGAAAATCTTTTTTCTGTGGGCAATAAATCGAATGAACAAAACTATCGACAAACTATTTATCCCTCATCAAAGCGAATCGAAATCAAGAGCGCTGCACTTTGTGTTACTTATATTGTTTATGTCCTCCATTTCGTTCACCCTCTTGGCTAAATATCATACATATTTTTTTTATTGTCTATAAAAAGATATTATACATATAATCAAATCATAAGCAAAACATAAAAAATGTGCAATTCCTTCTTTTTGATCAGTGTGAAATTTGATTTCGTTTTCATCACGTCCATTTCGATGGTTATTTTGCGCATAATATTTATTTTAATGTGTTCGTTTTTCCTTCTCTTTCTCATCAATCCAGAACATTCATTTTGATGTGTGTTTCAGCAATGAACCTATTAAAATGACATATTTTTCGCACTCAATCTTCCAATTAGTTTGAAGTCGTCGCTTATGCATAATTTACGACAAATATTTACATTTTTTTTTTCATTTAACAATCCAATTAATTTTGTCTTTTGATTCTTCAGCCCATTTATTTTCCCGTTTTTCTGTAATCAGTCACACGCAAAACGAAACATTTTTCCAAATCATTTGTTTTTGAGTCAAATAAATTAGAGTGAACAGCGGATGGGGAAGAAGAAACTCTCAAAAAAGTGCGAAAATTTCCGAAAAAAAGCGAAAAACGCTACGATTTTAATGGGACATAGAATGAACGATAGATTTACTTTCCATCCCTCACTCGACCTCTAATTTCTTTGAATCAGACCGATGTTTATAATTAGTTATAAATACCAACGCAGCTCACACATACTGTGAAATGATTTATATTGTCTTTACAGGTTTGATTGAAACATTGGTGTTGGCATTACCATATTTTTGTACAACAACAACAAAAAGAAACTATAATTTACTTATGATTTTTCGCATTCTCCTGGAATTTTTGTGACATGACATCATGTTTCCTCCATTTCACTATCGAGATTCATAAATTATATTTTTTTAAGCAGCTTTAATCATGCGAACTCTTTCTTTTAATCATAAATTTAGAGACCATTAAGTGATATCGTTCACAAAATATGTTTCATGCCTTTGACAATACAATGTTCGTTTGCTGTAAATCAATTTTTCTTTCTCTTGATTTTTGTTCGGGCCAAAAGCTTTACAAATAAAACCAAATTGTATATTTTCATGAATTAGAAGCAAAAAAAAAATGTAACATCGATAAAAGGACACATAAAATAGTCGTGTAGATGCATTTTCAGCTAAATCGGAATGACCTCAATCTAGATGAGAGAAAATATATACATTTCAGCCACATTCACATTATTTCACGTTTAAGTTCCGGTTAATGATCTCCATAAGAAAAAGTGTCAACAATAAATAAAAGCCCGTTTAGTTAAGACAAACTGTTCATTCGCATTTGAGAACGAATTATTTTGGTTTTTAATTAAACATTTTTAACTACCTGAACATTTAGTGTTTTCACGCAACCTCTAGCTGTTTATCGCATTCAATTATTTGGAATTTGCAATTCGCCGTAGTTTTGCATACTCTATCTATCATAATCTCAACTGATTCGCATTAATACTAAGCAAACCACTTTAAAACAAACAAACAAAAAATATCCATGCGTTTTGTGTACCTTCATTTTTTTCAGAAATAGTTGTATTTGTCACCTCATCTCTGTACCTATTTTCCGTTGTGAATGTGCGATTTTATGTAATTCATTCACTCTGTTCAGTGTCGTCTTTTTTTTTGTGTTTTTCATCCAAACAATTTTTCCAAGTATGTATGTCTGCACATGTGTTTGAGTTTTTTAGGTGAACATTTTATTTTAATCATATCTATTAGCCGAGAAAAAAAACAGTGCAATAATTAATGTTTGTTCGTATCATAAGTCCTCTGTGGTTCGTGTAACTATTCAATTACATAACATATACTAAGTAATATACTAAGTAATGCTTATTTTTTAGCATCCGTAAGTTTGTTCGAGTAATTTTTGATTACGAATGACAATACAAAAAAAAAATACAATTTCAATACTCGTTATTTTGTTCTTGTGTTCTTCAATCATTTTGCCAAAATTCATGTCTAAAATCCCCTCACCGAAAATCGAACTCTTTAGTTTTTCGGTTTTATTGGCGTTTTTTTCGTGTTTTGGTTCCAAATTTCGGTTCATTCGCAACAACCAAATTCTATTTAAATCAAATGAACAATTGACATTTTTTGTTTCTTTTCAATACTGTTTATTTTATTTAACTACGTAAACATTTCTTTGTGTTTGGATGCAAATAGAGTCATACAGATATAAAAAAAATGATATAACTGTTCGTATGAGAAAATTCACCAGCAAAACACTTACAAAAAGTTATTAGATATACGGAACATATGCTATGACACAGAATCTTATTCACTTTTCAATTCGTTTTTCAATGAAAGAAAAAAATAACTTTGACTTGATGATAAGTTAATGGAAACAAAGACAAATAGTGACAGTAAAAGAAAAGTTGAAAAAAGTCATGAAATGAAATGAGACATATGATTCGATATCTGATAGCTTGTAAAAAGGAATTGTTCGGTATGTATATCTGCGTTCTGTTCTTCTTTTTTTTCCATCACAACGTTTCATCGAAATCAACCGCTAAATGCGTGTTTAGAATATGCCACGGTCGGCTATATGGCGAAGCGAATTCAGATGCGTAAGCAACGTTTTATGGCAATCCAAAAAATTGCCCAGGAGAAGAAGTTACAAGTAGATGGTGGCCAACAACCGGCGATGATGAGCGCTGGCCCAGATCACAGCCACAGTCACAGTAGTCACGGACACAGTCACAGTCATCAGCACGGACCAAAACAATCAGCAATGCAGCAACAAATACCAGGTACGTGATTTGAAATTGATTTTTATTTTGTCTCTGTGCCATCAAAATGCAGTTTTCAAAACGGCTAATTTGTAATGCATTTTCGTTTCTTTTTATTGTTTACGTGCTTGTGACGGTTTCAGGAAATCGACCATCCGGTTTTGCAAATATGCAGCAGGGCTCGCGAGGCTGTTCATTAGTTGGCCCACTGTTTCAAGAAGTTCGATTTAAGGTACATGATCCAAAAGTTCATTCCAAGGGCGGCACACTAGAAAATACAATAAATGGGGGTCGTGGGCGCTCAAACGCCGACAGCGGTCCAGATGAAGAGTCGGGTGGTGATATGCGGCCACCGCCACCACCACATTTAATTCATCCGGGCAAAGTGAGTATTTTCCGCTTTGAAAATCGCTTTTAACTAAACAATGGACGGTCGCCACATGATGAAAACATGATTCTCATACATTTGATACATAAAACATACAACAACAAAAAAAAACATTTTCTTTTATTTTCAATGGAGCGAGAGACATAGACACATATAGAGTCTGCGAGAGAGAGAGAGAAAAAAGGAAACGAGAGAAAGAGAGAAAGCAATTGGCAATTGCATGAAATAAAAATGGACAAAAATTAAAGTAAGAGTGAAAGAGAGTGATATAAATTTGGGTCGGAGAGGAAATTAGACCAATCTTTCATAACGAATTGATCATAAATTTATGTGAACGAAGGCGATTATCATGACTTTTATTCCATATTTACATAAAAACTACATTAAAATCGCTCTACTAACAATTAATGGTGATAGACTGCTTTTAACGCTTATCCACTCATTCGGTATTTCTCATTTTTATTTTGGTTTCACTCTGTGTTTAACGATAATATGATTTCTTTGTTTTCACACTAACACATACGCTCATTCTCTCTCTCTCTCTCTCTCTCTCTCTCTCTCTCTCTCTCTCTCTCTCT